CGTCATGTTCCTCGTGATGATCGATCCGAAAGTACCGAAAGTGAGACACTTCACGAGATGCTTGGAATGCCCATTGCACAGGCGAGGCGTCGCACGCATCCTCCAAACAGCGTGTTTACCTCTCAGAGTGGCCGTTGCTACCACCTGTTGAGATGCTACAAGCTTGATGCATGTGATCGTGTGATGGCCCGTGACCGGGCAACCCTGAGTGCCGCATATCGCCCGTGCAAGAAATGCAATCCTTGAAGACTTAGCTTCTTTGTCCATTCTCTCTTGAGACAGGTCTTTGCAATGCTCATGATGCAACCCGGGATGGTCCCATGCCCAGTTGGCTAGCGCCCGCTATGCCGTGGGGATGGTGCCATGCTTGGTGTTGTACAAAGTGTACATAGCTTCAGGAAGATCAGAACATGCACATCCTCCTCTTGGAGCTTATGGCTATTGCTTTGGGACTTGAGACTCTCTTGAGTGAACATGGTGCATTTTGCACCATCAATCCTTGATATACGCACGCCATTTTGGCGAACCCGATGGTGATGCACTTCGAGTGCAACGCTGATCCCACTGCGGCGATGATGCATTCCGCCGCATGAACCTTAACTAGGAGGTTCCAATACTTGTGGCTGTGAGCCTTAGTGCATGTGTGCTTTCAGCCAGGTTAGCGCAAGTTCTTTTGATGTGTCTTGATGATTCAACTCGCATCTGCATGTGGTATTCATCCGGAGATCACACAACGCGTCCTGCTTTGACAGTCTTCTGTGGAGCTTTGCCAGCTCTTGCCTTTACGCGGGTCCGCTTGCCCTCAAGCATCGCGCAGCACCGTAGGTAGGAGTCAGGTAGGTAGGTAGTTCGAGCCAACGACCTTTGGGCAGAGCTCGTGCACGGTGGACAATGTGTTTTGGGAGCCCCTGTAATTGTTTCCAGTTACCGGCAGTAGTTCTTTCTCAGCTTGGAGCTGTGTACAGTGTGTCCTTGGAGGTCACAAAGTTTGTAGGAAAGCATTCGCCTGTAGTTGGACTCAGGCATGCTTTAGGCGGGGTGCTAAACTTTGCACTCCTGTGTACATGTACCATTTTTGTAGGGTGACATGCCGGTATTTACTTTCCATACTTGTTTTACTTTTGCAGCTCCCTGAATTCGTTTGAGCCCAATGATTCCGACTCCGCAGGCGCTTATGTTCGTGTGAAAATTGACACTCCCTGGACCGGCCTATGAGCAGCTCACCCAAGCCCTGAACTTGGCTGAAGCCACAGGAGTGGCGCCACAGCACTGGCAGGCGCACCATGTGGCACTCCTGCCCAAAAATGCTGACATAGAAAGGCCCATAACCCTCACATCCATCACCTATCGGCTTTGGTGCTTCTGCAGAGCACAGGTCGTCAAGAAATGGATGCGAGAAACTGCAGAGCAGTTCCCATGGGATAAAGCCTCCCCGGGTAACACTTGTCTAGAAACAGGCATGCAGAGACTCCTGAGAGGAGAGGTTAGCCGCGCAGCTAACAAACATGCCTGTGCGGTCCTTTTGGACCTGCAGACTTTCTATGACAGTGTTAACTGGACCAAATTGGAGGAGCGGATAGTGGCGACCGGATTTCCGCCAGCTATCGCCCTCCTGGTCATGCAAGTCTACCGGGGAACGAGATATCTCGTGGCAGAGGATCTCCTTTCGGAGGGGATCCTCCCTGCGAGGGGCATCCTAGCAGGGTGCCCTTTCGCAACAATGATGGCCAGGGTTTACCTCCAGCCAATAATGCAAGAAGCCGCTCAGCTCCACAGTATGAAGCCACCCATTCCCCGCACAACAAGGTGAATGCCCTACTGGATGATGCGGCTAAGGTTCTGCAAGCCTTCCACGTGAATGGGGTGTCCGAGTCCCCGCCTTCTCCGCCACCAGCTGCAGCCAAACCTACCGGGACTTCCAGCTCTGCGCAGACTGTCGTTCCAGGCACCCCGGTCACCGTTGCTGCCCTACAGTCGCAGCTGGATGCCCTTCGAAAGGCGGTCCCGGAGGCCAAACCTTCAGTGCAAGCAGTGTCAGGTAGTGTTCATGCTGCTAGTCTAGGGGGTCCTGGAGGGAATCCCTCGTCACCTGAGCTGAACCACCCGGAGCAAATGGCTCTGATCGACAGCGGGCTACCCATCCTGTTCGTGCTCTACAGCCAGAGGACGCTGAAAAAGGGGTTACATACATAGAGGTTGGACTAGCCGGGGGTGCTTCTAAAATCATGCCACAGACAGCAGCCGGAACGCTCCTGACCGAGGAGAAGAGCCACTCTCAAGCCATAGTCCCCGCCGGGGCTCTCGTGGAGCAATTGGGGTGTAGCATCTCTTGGAAAAAGGGGAAGATCGTGGTGACTCATCCCGTGCATGGACGACTCCAAGTCCGAATCCGGAATGGATGCCCGGTTCTAGCGGAAACTGAGGCACTACGCCTGATTGAAGAGTTGGAGATGAAGCGACTCCAGGAGCTTGAAGATCAGGTTGGGGAAGCCTGGAAGGTCCTAAAGGGTTTGCCCCTGCCGAGGCGTACTCGAAGAAGCCTTCTGGGTTCAGCTGACTGGGTCTTGAGGTTTGTGCATGGCAAGCATAGTCTACACAATGAGGACCAAACCCTACTCAGCCGGGGGTTCCAGGTGGTCACCGTAGACCTGGAGAAACCCAAGCAATGGTCATTGCAGTCAGGGTCCCCGGTGCACACTGCCCTCGTGTGGGCTGCGCTCCAAGGCCGCCTTGCAGGCATTCAAGCCACTCCAGGGTCCCAATCCCACGTTGTTGCACTCGTGACTTGGCTGTGGACCTTGAGTACCGCTATGCGAAAGTACACCATCCCTTTGACCGCTGCCTTCCGGTCAAGCCAGATTCCTGAGAGTCCATTGTGGAAAGGTTTTGAGTCCTTCCACTCGCAGTCCTGATCCACTCGAGGATGTCCCTCAAGCTAGCGTCCCTGAACACTCACACTTGGCCTCTGACGACCCTGCCTGGGAGCGGGTTCACACCGGAGATGAGTCCGAAGACCTAGTCAGCTGTGAGGTTGAAGCCCAGGAGCTAGAGGAGGACGACCGGTATGATCTCCAAGCCCTCAGGCAAACCATAGCCTTCTTACAGGAGCCAGTGCCTCAGACCGTGCTTCGCTTTGCTAGGCCAATCCCCTCCAAGAAGGCCACTGCGATAATCCCCGCTCTTCACTCCATCGTTAGCGAGATACAACAGCTGGGATTTCCGGTGCGTTCCCTACACACAGACCAAGGCAGAGAATTCCTCAGTGATGGAGTAAAGAACTTCTGCAGCGATCATGGAATCTCCGTGAGAATGTCTGAACCTCACGATAAAAGGGCCAACGGACTCGCTGAGAGGATCGTGGGATGGGTCAAACAAAGGACGAGATGTCTCTTGACAGCAGCCCGCCTCGATCGCAAGTTCTGGCCTCTTGCCATGAGCTACGCCACTGCAACACACCTGAGCATGTCCACCAGCAAGCGTCTCCCTGCCTACTTTGGCCAACAAGTGACATACAAGCGACCGGTGTTGCCGGGACACCTGAAGCCGTGGGAACCGTGGGCCGATGGGAGATACATGTGCCCGTCACAGGTCGTAGTTGATGGTCATGTGGTTCTAAAGGGGGATGGTAACCTAATAGTGGTTAAGAACGTAAGGTCTGACCTTGTGGATGCCGAGCAACACCTCGGGGATCGCCTCCCTGCTGTCGTTGCTGATGGGATTGAGTCCCGCCCGCCTGCCTCCAGCGTGAGCTACGACCCGGAGCGAGACTTGCCCGAGGCCGACAGGTTCCCCCACGAGAAAGGCCCACTACAGTCAGAAGCAGCTCCTAGTGCCTTTGCCGCCCCTGCCTTCAGAGTTACTAGGAAGACACCAGGAGTTCCGGCCTCCGCGGCTCCCCTGCCTAAGCCGTCCCCAGCAAGGAGGAGGATTGTCAGGAAAACCGCGGTGCGAGCTGTTCGGCTTGAAGTTCGAGGGGAGGAGGAGGCGAGAAGCCTTCTTGCTGAAGAGGATTTCCGGCCTGAAATCGCATGTGAACTCCTAGACCATGTTTTTGGGTCCTGGAAGAAGCCTGGAACAGCCATCGGGAAGGGGAGGGGTGGTCATGCAGGATGCATCCTAGGAGCCTACGCCTATGGTAGCATTAAGAAGGGAATCACCTTGTGCACCAGTGATCACCCGTGGCTGACTAGGTATCTGAACGAAATGATTGCCCGCTCCAGTCCGGAGACCTCAGACTGTTCTGCCGACCCTGCCACTTGGACGTCTCTCGTCGTCATAGGGATCTAAACAATGAGCAGGGGACACATAACCACCTTTTGTGCCTCGACCACGTCCACCTTTGGACCGAGGGAACTGCGGAAAGCAACCCTGTAAAGGGGGGGGGTACCACCTTCGACTTGACGGTCTGCGACTCCACTGGCAGAGAGCACTCAGGTCGTGTAACCGAAGTCTCTAAAAAGCTGGTGACGTTTGATGCCCGCAAATGGCATTCCGTTGTCCGCACCAGGCGTTGGATGCTTGCTGGTTACACGCCCCGGGGTTGGGATACCTCCCTTGCGCCGCAGCTGCAAGACTTAGGGTTTAGGGTTCCCCCTAGGCCCCAGGTTGCTATGCTTAGGCCCCAGAACCTTGCATCGTCCTCCTCCTCAAGCGGTACCGCACCCCAAGATGGGGAGAGCGACACCCTCGCCGGAGGCAGTCTGCCACCCGGAAGCTCCAGTGCGTCAGGCCAGGTCTCCTCACTTGACACTTCCGCCCAAGAGACTCAAGGTTCACTGCCAAGCCACCTGGGTCACGTCGAAGATGAGGAGCTCATCAGGGTTTTAATGTACTTGGGGCAAGGGGAGAAGGTAGAAGCTTTGGGGAATTTAGGGGTTGAAACCTTGGCCGACCTTGACCGACTTTACCTTGAAGACCTTCTGGAGGCAGGATGGGTCCAACAAGATGCTAGGGCTCTCCTGACATCAACCGGAAGGCCGATGGGTTTGGCGCCAAGGCCGATGGGTTCTGCATTCCTCACCAATATGGCCGCCTCCTCTGCGGCCTCGCGCCCTGGGCAGATTCCCGAAGCACCAGAGGAGGCAGACAGCAGTTGTGGTGCGTCAGTGGGGTCTGGGCCCTGGCATGATCCTCGTATAACCCCAGCTCTTGTTGAACTTATCCCGCAGCGACTGTATGATGAGGGACAAGAGATGGGCCCTATCTCCCCGGCATTGTATGCCGAACTGGTTCATGTGGGTAACGAAGCTGATCTGGTAGTGCGGAAAAACGATGCATACTACGCAGAAGGAGCTTTTCAAGATGTCCTAAGGGGCTACCGGGTGGGGACAAATGGCCTGGATCCCATCGTAGGGGGGTTAATGTTGAGAGATTTGGCTCGGTATAGGAGGGAAACTTTCGGGTTGGAAGGGGAGACAGAAGAAAGCCCTTACACCACAGATTCCTCACATACCTTGCCGGAAGTCCGTGCCCTCTCAACCCTTGCGCTCCAGCGCCACACCAGTCCGTCGCCCGATAGAGTGCCAGCGGTGCAGCTGAACCCTTCCATATTGCTGTGCCTGGAGGATGTCGAAGACAGTGTTGCCGTTTTCCATAGACCACTCGGCTCGGGGGCAAGCTCGCCCTTTGATGTTCCCGAGGAGGTGGAGCAACTTACGCACCTGCTGAAAGTTGATCTGTATACCCAAGATGTCGAAGGGAAGCTTGAAGCACTCAACGGGGCCCCTCTTGAGACTGCCTACAATGTCTCCCCTGCAGAGATTCGAAGGTTCAGTGATCGCTGGAAGGCTTCGATGGTGGACGAGTTTAACTCGCTGATAGAGAAGGGGGCAATAAAGAGAGTCTTTGGGGAAGAAGCTGCCAGGCTGAAGAGAGACCCTTCGTCAAAGGTGCTGCATACCAAAACTGTGTGTGTTGCAAAGCCGGGGAAGGCGGGTGAACCGTTTCGTAGAAAAACCCGGATTGTGGCTTGCGGGTGCGAAAGTGAATACACGGATGAGTCGAACTTGTACGCCTCCGGAGTAGTCGCCGACTCGTTGAGGTCGAGCCTGGTCAAGGCTGCCACGGAGTCGTGGCAGGCTCATGCCACGGACATTCACACTGCTTTTTTGTTGGCGCCCCTTGGCCAGGCAGCTCACCAAAGACAGTACATCCTTCAGCCGGCGCAGGTCTTGGTAGACTTAGGCATCGCACAAGAGCATGAATGCTGGACCATAGACCGTGCCATTTATGGCCTCCGGGAATCGCCACGGTGGTGGACCGTTTTTCGGAACCAGTCACTCCTGAAGGAAACCATACGGTCCCTCAATCCGGAACCCATGGGCGATCAGCCACCTGATGCCTCGACCCAGGAGGAGTACGATCTGCAGCAAGGGCTTGTGGACGACAATATCTTCAAGATCAGACGTCGTAGCGACAACAAGCATGTTGGGCTGTTAGTGTTGTATGTAGATGATTTCTTGATCCTGAGTGACACCAACGTCGCGCAAGCCATTCACGCCCATTTGCAGAATGTCCTGAAGTGGGAATGTGACCCACTGTCGACCGCCACTCCTGACCGCCCCTTGCGATTCCTGGGGGTCAACATCCGACCTCTCCCAGATGATGGGACAAGTGGCCCAGGATTCTCTTTGGAACAAGAAGCCTACATAGAAGAAGTGCTGCGGGGTCATGGGTTCACTGGTCCGGGAAGCCGAGTGGCCTGCAGCAAAGAGCTGCTGTGTGAAGCCTTTGAAGAGAACCCAAACCAGCAGGACATCCGGGACGCCCAGAAGGCTACCGGAGAGGCCCTATGGGTCTCCCAACGCTCGAGACCAGACATATCTTTTGTCGTAAACTACATGTCCTCCATGTCCACCAGAGCTCCGAAGCAAGTTCTGCTGGTGGCTGAGCGCCTTTTCCGATACCTGCATCAGACTAGGAACCACCGGCTTGAACTTCGAGCGACCACAGGGAGCGAAGACCTAATCGAGGTCTTTACGGATGCATCATTCGCACCGTACGGCTCGAGCAGTTATGGCGGAATCCTCATACGCCTCAACGGTGCTCCATGCATGTGGCGAGCTGGTCGCCTTCCCCTGATCGCCGTGTCAACGGCGGAAGCTGAGCTCCAAGCACTCAGCGAGGGCGCCATTTTCGGGCAGTCATTCCAAGCAGCTCTCCAGGACATCACTGACCGACCAGCAGAGATTGTTCTGCGCTGCGACAGCACCGCCGCTATAGCCCTTGCCCAGGGAAGCTCAAGTCAGAGGACACGACATCTGAAGGTGCGGGCAGCAGCTCTGTACCAACAGCTACAGTCATCGATGATGAGGCTGGAGCATTGTCCAGGCGATACCCAACTTGCCGACTTATTCACCAAATCCCTTCCAGGTCCCCGCTTGAGCGAACTTGCTGGACTTGTGGGACTGACCGAAACAAGGACACCAGAGTCACCGGCATCATCTCCGCAAGCCAATGCTGTTGCAAGCAGGTGCCTCCCTTCTGTTGAGAGTTGGGTTAAGAGTTTGGTTGGTTGTCTCTGCATAGTTGGGGGGGGAGGTCAAGAGGCCAATGGAAGTGAGGAGGAGCCCGTAGGGATTTCAGATGACACATATCTCTATGTGGCATTGCTCATCTTCATCATAGCTGTACTTGGGGTTTGGGAGGGTTTGAAGGCCACCCGGGCCTGTTGCAGCAGACAAGGGGAGGATGGGCGACCACAGTTGAGAGCCTTGTCCAAGAGGGAGAAGCTCCGGCAAGCCGTGTCTGAAGCGATTGAACGTGAGATCCCCTCCACTGTCACCTCGCCTTCCACACCCGCTACGGAAGGACTCCGGAGACGGAGATCAAGTGAGTCCTCCTCACCTCCGCCACCTCCCTTGCCTGTCGCGCGGGAATATCATGGCATCTTTGTTCCTCCTCCGCCGCCGCCCATCATCCATGTGCATGCTCCGTCGCCTGCCGCTTCCATTGCGCCGGAACCCGTGCGTGGCACCTTCCGTGAGGTTGCCTCCGGCTCGTCGTGCGTCCCTAACCCTAGAGATAGTAGAGGTGCTGAGGTTACGAATCCAGTCCCCAACTCCTCAAATAGGGTGAGTCAGGGAGTTCAGACAGACCCTGTTCTGGTGTTTGGGCATGACGATAAGGTTTACTTGTCGAGTAGTGGGCGTGCTTTTCACGAGAACTCCCAGTGCCACGGAGGTCTCCCAAGGGGAACTTCCGTCGTATCGAAAAATACGTGTGGTCATTGCCTCAACCGAAAGGGGCGAGGCCTCTGAGACCTGTTTGGTGGGACTCGCCTGACGACTCTCCCAAGGAGGAGTGTTGAAAGTCCCCACCCCATTTCTGGCAGGTCAACGACTTCCGACCTCGAGGATGTGTCGGCTCAGCAGTGGCAACGACATGTCCACTAAGGGTCATTTCTCCGCATCATGTTAAGTCATGATCTCTTGGCATGCTGAAGCATGTGTTTAAGCTAGGCATAACAAACCTTGCCTTTACACGTTTTGCTTTCGCCCGAAGAGTGAAAAAAGTGGGAGAGCGCTCCTGGTTGATGGACCCCCTTGGTTGGCAGAGTCTGGTTGGGACTTCGTGCACAAGGAGGTGAACACTTTGGAGGCAGGCCACGGGTTCTTTACTCTGGGTGATTGGCTTCTTCGACTACCTCAACCCGCCTAATTTCTACAGGGCCTTATACCACTCATCTCAAAGAGGATAAAACCTCTGGCTGTGTGAGTCACGAAAGAGCCCGCCAGATCTATCTCACACTTCAAGCCAATGTTGAACTGGTTAGCAGCCAGTGTAGGCGATAGCCCGTTACAAGCCACAGACAATGTAGCAGGCTTCCAGAAGGGGGCATGTGCTTTCGGCCTGCTGGCCACTGCATCACGTTCCCTAATCGCCACTGCAGACTCCCAAACTTCCAGCTTCCTAACTCCAGCTCTCCAGGGATTGCAAGCGGTGGCGACAGGCTGTACAGACCAGTTGCTCAAGTTCGCCGCAGCTCCGGCTTTCACTCTCTACCTTGAGCCACAATTTTTTCTTCCGAGTTGAGCGAACAAATGCGATCCACCTTCTTGGTGTTTGGGTTGTGAAAACCGTGCCTCTGTACTGGCACTACTGATGGCCCTCTTGGCCCTAATGTACAGGGGAGGAAACCACCTCCTCCTAATCTACCATCCTCTTTGGGATGCTACCAGAGGTTATACCTCATGAGAGGAATGAACCTCCTGGCAAAAGCTCCTCAGGTTGCTGGTGCAGGGGTTGCAAACCGTGAGAGGAGGGGCCAGGGGTGTTCTCTGGCAGCGAGGATGAACCTCAGCTTTTCATCCTCTTCGGGATGCTACCAGAGGCTGGGACCTCAAGAGAGGTTAGGAACCTCCTGACAAAAGGTCCCTCAAGGCCTTTGGTGCACTTGGTGCAGGCTGTCAGAGGGAGGCGGCCAGGGTTCCGCTCTGGTAGCGAGGATGATCTGTGCTATCCTCGCTGGGAGGCTGCAACCTCCTAGGCTGTTTCAGCTGGTGGTTCCCTGAGTGGGACCAACTCCCAGCGAGGCTCTTCCATGATATTGCGGCGGGGTCGCACTAGCCCATAGTCTGGCGACGGCAATTCATAAAGGACTTTCATGTCGATGAGAGCCTCGACAAACACCATGTCCATGTTTTTTAACTTCCACAGCAACAAGCTTGCCAGCAAGGGGATGCTGGCATGGTGGAGGCTGACCCACCTCCTGACTTTGCTGCTCAAGGTGGGTGCGTCTTGGTCAAACCACCGGAAGAAAGAGACGAGCCGGGTCAGGCTGGGGAAACCGTAGTGCTCTCTGGTGCCCCAGTTGGCCACGTCCAAACTTGTTAACCGGTGGTACTTGGCCATTCCCAGGTACCCCCAGTTCTGCTCCCCTTGGTCACGGGGATGGAGGTACCCCTCCGGAAGGCGAAGTCCACACCAGAAGCACATCATAATGCACAGCTGGAGGGTTGCCCTGTCCGGCGTCGGGCGGATGGGGGCCACCATCCGCTCGACGGCAAAGGCCCGCAGGTCCTGGGCTGGGAGCCCAGGAACCTCGACCTGGAGGGTGAACCTCCGGCAGACCTGGTAGAGCCAGCGCAAAAAGCTCCCACTCAAAGTGGTGGGCATCTTGGAGGCCTACTGAGGGTACACACTACCCTCGAACCACCTCGAGCAAGAATGGTCAGGTACCTGACTCGCCTTGGACCTCACAGGAGGTCCGGTCAGGCAGCTGCTTGGCGAGGCCATTTGCTTGCTCGGAGGATAAGGCTACCTCCCTCGGCTGCTGGTCTGGGCAGGCTCTGCACTGGCTTCGGAGGTATCCCCTCCTGAGCTCTGGGCCTGGCCCAGTCTCGGGAGGCCCCCCACCAGCTGGAGGACCACCCTCCGGACCAGTGCTCGTCCCCCCATTGCTGCCATCCTTCCCACTCTTCGTTTTCAGGCAGGGTTGGCAGCACGATTGGCTGGCGGTGGCCTGCAGGGTGTAGTCATCGACGCACCTCTGCGCCGGGGTCCTGCGTTCCAGCAGGAACTCGCCCTTGCCTTGGGCTTTTCCGGGCTGCCTGTTTGGAGGAGGAACCTCTTTCTACTCTCCCAAGCCTTAGCCTCCGGAGGCTGCCCCTCCCCTGCCGGTGCTGTGGTTGGTGGTTCCTGGTTGCTTTCCTCCTTCGCCTCGGCAGGGGCCGCATTGGAGGAGGCACTGGCTTGGGAGGGTAGCCCCTCCTGAGTGTTGGCGCCGGTGGGGTAGTTCAGAGCCTCTTGCTTCAGGGAGGCTTCACCTTTCGGCTTTTCTCCTTCACTCTTCACTGGGGCCTCCTGGGCCTCCTGGCCCTGGGAGGGCAGGTCCTCCTGTTTCACTTCCGCCATTGCGCACAGGGGGGGCCCCTTCTACTGGCTTGGCTTCCTGTGCTGGCTGAAAAAGGCTGCGGATGGGATTTGTTGTTTCGGGCTTGAATTGCGACTTACATCGGGAATCCTTTTTAAAACTACAAGCAGCAGCAAGTTTTTGCGAAACCGTTTGGGTTTTAAGGGACAGCTGGCCTCCACAACCCTCACACACCCAAAGCTGCCTAGTTCCTAAAAGTTTCAAAACATGCGTGACATGTACCCCTTCGATCGCAACCCTCCCTTGATGCGCACATTGGTGTGCTGCCAGTGCCTCTAAGGTCTTGCGGTTTTTCGTGTGCAAAAGTTTTAGCTGGCACTGGGCACACCGGAGGTTGTGACCTTCCCACTCCCAGGCATGTACGGATTTGGTCCGGACCAGCTCCTGGAACCATTCCTGCTGGGTAGTGGTGTGGCCACGACCTATGTTGGATCCAATCCGCTTTTTGCAGGGCCTGGCAGTGGCCTCGTGGTTCTTGCGGGCCTGCTTTTCCTGCAGGAAGACCTTGTAGACTGGGTGCTGATTTTCCCCTACAGCGGTGAGGATCTTTCCAGCCCTGCTCGCCAGGAACTCTTGGGCCTTTTTGCGGCAATGGTCCTGATACTGGCTGGCTGCCCGGGCATCAGGGTGGGCCAGCTCGGCCGCTTTTTCCCCACACAGCTTATCTGCCAGGTCATTGACCTGCTGTCTCCACGAGTTTTCCGCACCAACCTTCCGGAGGAACTCCTCCTCTGAAACATGGGACGGAACCCATTTCATTTTGAGGCGGTTGACATCCGTGGCTTGCAGCTCCCACCAGATGTCACCGTGGGTTTCGGTAAAGCGGGCCAGCTGCAAAACTGCATACATCTCACCCCGGAAAACCGTCTGTGGTCCAGGGACTTGGCCGACGATTGCTCCGACCTGGACATAGTCTTGGCCCTGCTTCTTGCAGGCCACCACTGCGTAGGCTACCTTCCGGAGTCTCGGGTCCGCCGTGAAAGGGCCACCGCTGGCATCTGTGCCATAAACAAGCTCCGGGTCACTGAGGGGCTCTTTGTCAGCCCATATGCCCAAAAAGATGGGATTGTCTTCCTGAGGAGGTGGTACCTGCCATTCGGGTTTGGGTGGGAGGCCCCTGGCACAGCGATCGCGGGCCTTGGGCCCTGCCTTCTTGGAACCATGCTGGCAGCTCCCAGTTCTGGGCTTCCCGCCAGGCACAATCCAGGAGCACATGCTCCCAGTCCGCTTCCTGGTGGCACCGGGGGCACACCTTGACGGCTGCACACCAGGGCACCCTGCCAAACACACCTCAGGGCGTGGTTCGCCCTTCTTTCTTAAAACCCCCCAACAGTTTCCTCCCTACTGTCCAATCTATTCCCCCTTTTAGCTCAGGAGCAGCGAGGCTGGTGGCGATGCGGCGGTCTACTTCTTCCTGATAAGTTTGCTGGAGGAGGTCAAGGACACCACACTCCTGCTGTGGGGTGTACATGGTGTGCCTGGTGCCCCGGGTGTCCAGCCACTCATCACTGTCTCTAGGCTGCCAACCCAGGTCGAGCAGGTATGCAACGGTAGCTGCAAGAGGGCCCTTAACCATTTGCCACCGGCTGCTGGCTTCTTCCAGTTTTTGGACTGTAAGGCCCCAAGGTTCTTTCCAGCAGGTCTTCCTTGCCGGCCCACCTCTTCTTGAGCTGGAACCAGGCTTCAACTTGCTGGACCATCAGCGTGCGACCCGGATCCTGGTACCTGTCGCTTACAGAGGACAGAGCCACCTCCAGGTTGCCCATTTTTTGTCTGCCACACTGCTCAGCCAAGCCAGTCCGGAGCTTCTGTCTCCGGGTGGGCGGCATTCCCTGGGCTTGGTGGCCCCAAGTAAGGACGGAGGCAACCCCTCCTCTGAAGAGGCGGACCTTGGCCAGCACACCCGGGACTCTCAGTTGTTTCAACTTCTTCTGCCGTTGGCCCGCTTTGTGCCTGCGGGCTCTTTGCACCTTGACCCTCCGGACCCGACCCAGGGCACAGTCCAGGCCTAAATCCTTCATGCTATCACAGATAGCCGGGTCCCCATCTTTGCGCAGCTTCTGTAGCTCCCTCCTGGCTTCTGCAGTGGTACACAGGAAGCCTGTTTTCTTCAGGGACAAACGGAGGTCACTACCTTCCAGAAGCCGGCGAAGGGTTTTGTAACCTTCATAGACCGCAAACGCTGCCTGCTCAGGATGTCGAGCTTCGAAATCTGCTCCAATGTCATCCACCCAGGTGTCTAGGGCGGTGATACTGTGTTCCGACAGGAGGCTTAGCCTTAGGGTTTGGTTTAGGCTTAGGGCTCGGGGTTCCAGGCGCGGCAACCTTTGGGCAAGCGGACTTCATGTGTCCAGTCCCTCCACAGGCCATGCATCTTCCCTTGCGGAGGTGGGAAGGGATGTCGGTCCAGGTATGCGCATGCGAGCATTTATCCCCCTTATTACAACCTGTCCCCTGCACAAAGAACTTACATGCCCCTTGAGGAAGTGGGACCGATGCCCCTTCACCCTTGCCATTGCC